ACAGGAAATTAACCTCTGTCATACGGTTATAACGGACTATCGCTCTGATTTTGAGCCATTCCAGCCAAGGAAAGTGATTTTTTTTTACTAATTACTGTAGTCAACTCGAAGGGATAGTACGCCAGCTGAGCTGGGCACGTAGCCGGATAGGAAAGTGATCGTTGGACAATTTTCGAGTAGCGCCGAATTTCTGGTATTAAACAAGGCGGGAGAGTAAAAAATGTGGCGTTAGTGTTTTTTTTTTTGTTTGAATTAGATGTGGCCTACGTTTCCAAACGGTGCAAAAGGATTCTGTACTCGGGTATGGATTGTCCACTACCCTTACAAGGACATGCATCTGACCGCAATTTATGCCGAAGATACCATACACCGACCGACAGAAGAAGGGGAACGACAATGTTTTGTCTTGGATTAGAACTGCTTTTTGTCCTTCTCCCTCTGCTTCTCCTTCTCCCTCCGCCTCCTCCCCCCCCCTCTTCCTCCTCCGCATCTTCCTCCTCTGCCTCCGCCTCCACCTCCCACTTCTTCTTCGTCTTTCTCTTTCTCCTTCTCCTCCTCCTCCTCCTCGCCCTCTTCCTCCTCCGCGTCTTCCTCCCCCCTCCTCCTCCCTCCCTCCTCCTCCTCCCTCCTTCCTCCTCCCTCCTTCCTCCTCCCCCCTCCCTCCTCCTCCTCCTCCTCCTCCTCCTCCCTTGTTCTTCTTCTTCCGGCTCTTCTTGGTTTTGAGGCACACCATAATGTGAAAGCATCGTGTTGACATCTGGTATCATTCTTTATAGTTGATGGGAGCATCGTTTTGAATGGCATTCATCATCGTGTACAGGCTTTGTCGCCAGCTTACTCTATCAGTCAGTCTACAATACTTCTTCTCCTTCCTTTTCTGTATTCTTCCTTGTTCTCCTTCTCTTCTTGCTCCACTTCGTCTTTCTCATTTCGATCTTATTCTCTTCTTGAGTCTTCTTCTGCCTTCCGTCGTCGTCGTTGTTGTTGTCGTTCCTCTTCTTCTTCCTCCTCTTCTTCTTCTTCTTCTTCTTCTTCTTCTTCTTCTAACTTTGTCATGCTTTTGATTGGTCGATTTGCGCACAGGGACTACAGATCAGTGGGCGTCTGGCTTTGTCATCGGTCTTAAAACGTTTTGGGTGAATCGATCGGGGGCACTCCGTGTTTCTTGAAGAGCCGGCGACATCGTTTCCGTTTCGACCGACTGACAGTGAAGGACAGGGAGGAGCCACAATGGCGTACGGTCGGCAGGTCGTGATCTTGATGGTTATTGCTACGTTGGCGCTGGCTTTCAATGCCAAGCCGGCTGAGGGCTGTGTCGGGTATGTGGGCGGCGACTGCTTCCCGTTCATCGGGCCCAACGCATGCTGCAACTGCGACGCCGGCGGATACGCACTCTATTGCGAGCCATACACCTTCGGCCAGGGAGCGTTCAAATGCCAACACGTGGCCTTCGACAGCCGGTGTGTCACCGAAGCTGACGTGGCTCTCATCCGCACCCAGTCGGGGAGTGAGCGCAGGCTCATGTTCTAGGCAATGCCAGTCCTCATGCTACGAGCTATTATTGTCACTGCCGATGCCGATGGCTTTGCCAGTCCTCATGTTCAGCATTCAAAGCAGACTTTAAGTCAGCGACGAGGTACTAATATGAGATCACAAGGAAAGTAATTACTGTAGAGAGACTGAGAGAGACTGCATCATCTGGGTCACCATATAAAATATTTCGTAGTTGACCTTCCAAGCTGTGTACGTGGCTGCGTAGTATCATGCAGACGAAGTCGGCAGTCCTTTCTGACAATGTTACTCTTAATAAGTCCTCTGCTATCCTTTTCTCCTCCCCTTCCTCCTTCTCCTCCTTTCTCTCCTCCTCCTCCTCCTCCTCCTCCTCCTCCTCCTCCTCCTCCTCCTCCTTTCTCCCCTGCCTCGTGCTCCTCTCCTCTCGTAGCATGTTCTAAGATAGATGTGTTTAAACTCCTCCTGCTACTCTTTTCCACTCGTCCTCGACTCCCCCTCCTCCTCCTCCTCCTCCTCCTCTGCTGGAAATGCTGTTCTTACTGCCACCGATTCTTCACCCTTGGGACCTTGGGTACTTGCATGAGTACTGTTATTGCTTCTCCTGCTGTGAGACTCTTTTGCGTTAATTTTTCTGTTCTGGAAGCAATACATATGAATGGACTCGAGAGAGGAAAGTGTGCTACTCCGCGTGAGGCTTCGCCTCAGAGGGGGAATGAGTTCTCGAAGAAAGCAGTAGAGAAGTGAGAGACTGCATCTGCATTTTCATAGTTCTCTGGTTCGAGGTGATTGTGTCACAAGGGACCGATGGACCCGGTTTCCAGCAGCCTGGGGTGCAGCTCCGCACCTAGAGAAGGGTGCCATCTCCCAGCGCCAAACCTCAATTCCAGGGATGGATGTTTCTTCGCAAAATCCCCCCCCGAAAAAAAGGTAAGAAAAACAGAAGACAACGGCCGACGTGTCAGGTTTTCAAGTTCCTGTTAGAAAACAAAAAAAGAGCGTTTTGAGTTCCGAAAGGAAAAAAAGAAAGGGAAAATTTGTCTGGTGCCCCTGTAATTTGTGTTATTTCCTGTCCCGCCCCTCCGACGGCCGATTTACCCTGTTGCACCCCTGGGCCAAAAAATATTTTCTGCAGGCCCCTGTCGGTAGTGACCACAACTTTCCAGGACGCCCTCCTTGGACTGACGGTCGGGCCCTGTGCCGTATGCCCTCATGATGGGCAGCCATCTTTCTGCAATGCCCCCGCAGCTGTGAGGCACCACAAATTCGCAATTCCATTGGGCCCTGTGCCATATCGTCCGCTTCCCTGCAAGTGTGTGTGTGTGTGTGTGTGTGTGTGTGTGTGTGTGTGAGAGAGAGAGAGAGAGAGAGAGAGAGAGAGAGACTCTC